AGAAGATTTATTTAAAAAGATTGTTAGTTTTCACAATTTTAAATCATGGGATAGTCATTCTAAGTTCAATAAAGAACTCGCCTCAAAAGAAATGCCAACGCTTCATGATAAAAAGGATCATTCTTTGATCAGATTAAAATGTTTTAGTACTTCTTCAAGAGACGACTAGTTCAATTGGATTGTAAGTCTAGTCTACAACGGTACGTACATACATCGAGGAACCAAATGCATGTTTCGGTACTCAATTAGGCATTAATGCAGTTAATTTAGATGATTTTGACTCGTGGTGATTTTTAACCGATCGCCATATGCCGTAAGCGTTTTGCAGCCCTTGCGATAATTTAAATAACACCTACCGCCATATCCCTTTTGCTTGGTCGCCAAAACTTCGCCTATTGATTAAGATATGTGTTATTTTTCGGAAGGTTGCTCTCGTTTGAAATCTTGCAACCTAGACGCAAAAAAACCACGGTCAGCTCAAAATAATTGGAATTACCCACCTCAGCGTGGTTTATCACGGAATTTATTTTGAATCCTTCGTGAAAGGTGTAGTTAGAAATGAGAGGCGAAAAGAAAGACGACTAGAAAAAGCACGTCAAAATAATTAACCGTGATAGGGCACAGGAAGCTAAAGCAAACTTAACGACCAGTAGAGTTATTTATTGGACCTGCAGAGTACTCGTAGATTAGAAAAACCTAGTGGCAAGACACCTTAAATGGATTAAGTAGTCATCGAGAATGTCAGCTCCCACGGTATTTCTTTTTTTTTCTGACCGGATTACAAAAAAGCGTTTCACATATATTTGCCTTAGTTATACAAAACATGTCGAAATAATTTCTTCTTTAACTGCATCTGAAAACAGGGAGGAGCTCTCTTAGGAGTTTTTCCTCTCGATTTTGATTTTTCCGATAACCTACTTGGCGGAAAGTGAGCAGGCTGCTGCAGGGGACCATGCCTGTTGGTCCGACGATATGGAAATGCCACAAACATACTGGAAATCTGCATTAACGAAGGATTTTGTTTCGCTGCACACCATATAAAAAATCGATTAGAATGTAAATGCAGTCGTCTGAAAGGTAAATCATTTACGGCAGTGATAACCGGACAACGTTTTAGAGCAGGAGGTTGATGTTTCCTCAAGATTTTCTTGATACTATGCAATAGAAAGATTTCCCCTCTTTTCTGCTACACAATCAAGTACCGTCGTTCCAGACTTTTTGTCGCAGTAATGATAGATTTTCCTCGCTTAAGATATCAAGTTGCTACGAAGAAAATACCTGGACTTACACACGAATGGAAATAATGAAAATCTCAAGCTTGGTCTTTTTGTAAAAGAGGTATAATAGAATAGATGTCTAGGTTGTATTTACAGACTCCTTGGAATGTTTCCACTTTTTGTTTCTTGCAACACCAGCGCTCGATATCTTAGAAAGTTGCTAGAGAGGTTGTGACGTACATAAATACTTTTGGTAAAGTCCCCACTAATATAACCTATATCCTGTTCTCGAAAAAAATTCAGGGTAAAAGAGATAATTGTTTTCTTTTTTCACTTCGGATAATGAGAGATAGAACTTATACTCTTAAATGAAGGCACATACATGCTTCGATCTCAAAGTAAGTCTTCGCACATGATAACTCAAGCAACAGGCAAGACTGTGCAGTTCGCCGTTTGCTTACTTCCTTAATAGTTAAGAAAATGGGAGCAGGCCGTTGAGGCTTGTTAGCTCAATTGGTAGAGAGCTGCATTAGTATCGCAGAGGTCAGTGCTTCGAATCCCGTACAGGCCTGATTTTCTCAGGTCTGATTTTCGCTATTGCATAAATAGCGCTCTCTACTGCGATGATCGTGCATCATACGTAATTACTAGTACCTTGAATTGCAAAAGCAAATGTTGAAGCTTTTTTTCAATCCCGCGAAACTCTATGCTTTGTTATCCTTGTAGTAGAGAATAAGAAGAGTTCAGCTTTGTGGGGCTCGTAACAGAGCATTCAGTTTTCCAAAACGTAGCTCCGATAAGGATATAAAAATGTGAGCTTTTGCAAATTCACCTTCGCAGGCTTGTACTGGAACAACTCTTTCCCAGACTGTGAAGACACTTTAAACGTTTCTTTGTTTTCTTTTCTCTAAAAAACAGGTTTCACATTAGTTTGAATAACAATAGATTTGGACCTGATAAATTAAACCATGTTTACGTTTTATTTTCTCGACTGAAAAGTACTACTGAAACTAATAAGACATGATTTACGCATACGGGATGACTGCTGGCTATAGAACCATTATGATGCTGGTGACGCTTTTCGTAATCGTGGTTGAAATATATTGCAAAATAAGAAATCAAGGATAATTCACATGCAAGTTTTCAGTCTAAATGACTCGTGAATTTCAAAATTATGATTTAATGATGAAAGCTGCGTCCACTTCAGGAATTATGAGGGAAAAAAGCAAGAGTTTGTTTCTTTGAACTCTCTCGTTTCTTGGAGTTTCGTTTTCTACGGTATTTCCTCAACCGTTAGAAAGATACAACTCGTGCCAACTCAACTACTTTATTAACTGACGTAATAGTTTTACCACGGAGCGATACCAATACCAATACAATAACTATCTTCCTAACATAGAGCCTGGACGTTTCAATGAGTTTGAAAATGTAATTGACAATACTGACGCTGAAAATAAGGAATTATATCTCCTTGGTGATCTTAACTGCAATTTGTTACCAGAAGCTTCCGCTCATAATTCCTCATATTTAACAAACATTTTTGACACCTATGGTCTTCGTCACTCAATCACTGAACCAACACGCGTGACTCCCGTCTCTAAGACACTCGTTGATGTATGTATCACCAACTCCCCAGAGAAGGTTACGAATTCAGGTATCATTCACCTTGGGATCAGTGATCATTCTCTTGTGTTTATGACGCGTAAAGTCCATCATGAGCGTCGTTGCCCAAGAACGATCAAAATGCGACAATTTAAACACTTTCAAAAACCAAATTCTTGAGTGATCTTGAACAGATGCCATGGTCGAATGTTGATTTGCGTTCTGATCCGAATGACATGTGGCAAAAATGGAAACAAATGTTTGTCAGCTGCATAGACAAACACGCGCCACGCAAACTAAAAAGAATTAGTAAAAAGTGAGCTCCGTGGATTACTAGAGGGTTATTGCATAAAATGAATAGAAGAGATTTGATAAAAAGAAAGCAACTTCTTCGAAAAACCATGATATGTGGGAGCAATTTAAACGTGCTAGAAACCAAGCAAATAATGCAATCAAATACGCAAAGTAACGCTACTTTTCTGATAACTTGGAAGCTAGCAAAGGCAACCGGCGCAAAACATGGAATCTCACCAACGAGTTAAGCTCACGTAACACAAGTAAATCGTACAATATTTTAGAAATCCAAGTTGACAATAGAACAATAAGCACTCCTGGCGACATGGCGGGAGCTTTTAATGAACACTTCACAAATATTGCGCAAGTACTGGCCCAAGAGGTTCCAGCTGCAGAAGTAGATCCCGAGTTTTACCTTTCGTACACCGATAAAACATTTTGTCTAAAAACTCCTAGTGCCGATGTTGTGTTTAGTCTATTTCAGAAAATTGATGAAAAGAAAGCCACTGGCTTCGATATGATCCCAAGTAATTTGTTTAAAATAGCTGCTAGTATTGTTAACAACCTTACCTGTTGGCTGAGAGCGAACAGATTAAGTTTAAATGTGGCCAAAACTGAATTAATGATAATTGGATCTAGGCAGAGATTGAATGCCCAATGTGAGGAGATTGATATCAATATTGATAACAGGACGATCAGGAGAGCTGATCATACTAAATCTCTGGGTCTTACCATTGATGCTCAACTCTCTTGGTCTAAACACGTTGACGAGATCTGCAAGAAAACTTCTTCAGCCATTGGTGCATTAAAACGTGTACGACCTTTTATTTCGAAGGATGATGCAGTTCAAATTTATAATGCTTTAGTATTACCACATTTTGATTATTGCAGCCCGGTCTGGGATTGTATGAGAGGCTATTTGAGTGACAAATTACAGAAATTACAAAATCGCGCAGCCAGAGTAATAACTAAATCACCTTTTGATACGAAATCCAACCTCCTTCTAGCAATGCTTAAGTGGGAGAAGCTGCCTCTTCGTCGTAAAAAACAGAAAGCTTTAATTATGTATAAAACATTGCCGGAATGAACTTGCCCCAGAATATCTTCAATGTCTTTTCACTCAACGCCATGTTAATGATTATAACTTAAGAAATCTTTCAGGAAAACCCTCGCTGCCCAAGCCAAATACTAATTACTTGAAACGAAGCTTTTGTTATAGCGGGGCTTGTTTGTGGAATAACTTGCCCCAAGATTTGAAAGGCGTTGGTTCTATTGGGCAGTTTAAACGCGGTATTAAGAAGGTATCTGAGATATCGGTTTCCCACGCGGCAATCATGTAAAACAGTTGTAATAGTTTTAGTTTTTACCTTTAGCTTAACTGATGATTCTCCGTGTATAAATAAAGTTTACATTACATTACCTTAGAGCCCTCTATAAAAACTATAATCTTAGTGCACTACTGCGCAACTCACAGTTCCCTTCAGACATCCTCGTAACTTGTCGACGTCTACTTAAACCTTCTCCAACGTAGCCTTCCACACGGCTGACGATTCCGTCACTAACTCCTCTGGGCTCTTCGTGACAGCACTAACTCACTGTAACGACCTAACTTTAACCGATCGCGACTCCTTATATATCTTTTACAAAATGTTACAGAACGTTCTAGAGATCTAAAACACAAGTATTTTTAGTAGCATGACATCGCTATTGCATCATAACAAAATATGCTGTCTATGGGTTCTAGAAAGTTCTATTAAGAGTTCTCAATGAGTCAGCATGACAAAGCGTTCTAGAAATTTCTTTATTTCTATTTTTAGCAGTTCCGTAACGCTACGCACTCTTCATAACACGTTGAATTAATTAAAAATCTCAGGGAAACTAATCCTGAAATAATAAAGTAAAAGGAACCGTGAGTTGACCCGAAGAAAACATTTGATAGGTTAGAGGCAGTGTCACGTTTTGAAAAGAAATTTGTATTATCACTACTTTGATGGAATGTATCGCATTCTTCTTACTCAGGACCGATAATGTACAAACCGTCATTCACAATTAAACGGGCTGCTCGCGGGCCCTTAAAGGAATCAAAACTGAAGAATTTGTTCATGCCTAGCGTGCGTATATCGAGTTATGGATGCACGCGGAAAGTTCGGACAGCACGAAAAATGCGTAAGAGTAGCTCGAGGCGCAGCAGAGAGCTATTCTAGTGTTATATTTTTTTCGTTTTTGTTTGTTTGTTGGTTTGTTTTTTTTTTTTTTTTTGGGGGGGGGGGCTTATTGTGATGGAGTGTAAAATTATCACGACGCACAAAAAAGTAAACGAACGTCCTTATTGGCTGGTCAAGAACACACCACATTTTATACTTTGGTTTGAGCAAGAACATATGATCCAGTTAACCGATAGCTGCCAAATGAAAAGCTTAAAATTAACGGACAAAATAGAGAAAATCAACGCTAAATGAACTCAAGAGTCACTATAAATGCTTTAAAAGTCAAAGACCCAAAATTTGCTGCAGGTGGTCTTCCAACAAATTTGCGAAACACGCAACTTGCGAGTTTTTTCGCCTTTGTTTTTGCTGCTTGTTGGATCAGGACCTAAAAGGTCAATGTCGATAGAAAAATTGGGCAGTTCTTCGCTAGTTTCTTCCAGATTTTAAAGAGAAGGAAAACTGCACTGCAGCTGAACAGGACGGCAACTCTGCAGCCAGGTAAAAAACAACAACAAAAGCTCACGTCATCTTCTTTACACACGGGTGTGTGTAAGTAAAGTTTTTGTTTATAGCGGCTCAAGAAGACTTAAATATTAAATTCCTCAGTGGTAAATTGAGAAAGAAAACCGACTAAAAGTTCAAGTTATAGGAACATTCTTCATAGCGATATTCGTTCATATTAACAACCAATGCGATGAATACTTGAAAGTCATTACGTGATTGCTTTACAACATGTTTTACTAAATTCAAAGAAGCTAAGGAAGGGCATTTTTCGTCCAAAGGCTTCTATAAACTTTATTTAATTCCTTTCGACTAGGAAAAGCGAAGAACTTGATTTTAGTGTCGATATACACAGCCCTCGATAGGGCCTGTTTACATTTCACTTTCTCGGAAATTTTGCACCTTCCTTCTGCCTTAACATGGTACGAAGAAGGCATTAAAAAAGATCGATGAAAAAAGAAGAGACATGCAGTCAAAAGAAACAATTTTAAACAGTTGCGAAAAAGTTTTCCTGACTTTGTTATTCTGTTTTTAGACCATTTTCTCAAGGAAATTGGGGCGTACAAATTGCTATAAATTCAATTCTGCAAGCCCGTAATGCAACGGCTATGGTCAAGTGCGTTTAATTAGCAATGGTTGCCTTACAATGTATCACTGAATTCAAAGACGCTAAGGCACAGCATTTTTCATCCTATGCCTTCTTTAAAACCTTTTTTTTTTTTTTATTCCGATTTAAATTGGGGAAGACTGATCAACTTGATTTGAATGTCGATATAGGCAGCCCTCATTAGGAGCCTGTTAACATTCACTTTCTCGGAAATTTTGCAAATACGTAGTTCTGTTTTAACATGGTACCAAGAAGGTATTAAAAAAAGATCGATGATAGAAAGAAGAGACTTGCAGTCAAAAATTTACAATTTTAAAAAGTTGAGAAACAGCTTTACTGACTTTGTTATTCTAATGCTAGGTTTAAATAAAACATCATGAGTTTGAAGTTCACGGATGCGGTAAATGATTTTGCATTCTTGATAACCTTGGTAGGCTAATAATTCGACCAAATCATCTTAATAAACCCGGAAGCCCTCTCTTAATATTATGTTGAAGAAGTCGATAGTTAACTATAACATAAAGATTGAATAAGATGTGAATCGAAATAAGAAGAGTTCAGGCGGAGCTTTTCAACATACTTCTCGAAGTGTGCCGTCCTTTAGACTTGACGTTCCGTTGAATATGGACCGCAGTGGATCCCAAATATCGGCCTAAATAGTAGCGTTGTGACTGTGCTTAATGCAGCAGAAGGGAGGACCAAACCATTTAGCAATCACTGCTTTCCTAGTTATAGCAATTACTCACTAAAACGTGCTACAATTGACAGTTTTCTTCAACTGAAAAACAAACGATCTCCGCGATCTTATCAGCGTCTCCATTGTAAATCGTCGACTCTTCCATGAGACAAGGACTAATCATAAAAGATTCTTTGGCTTAAAACAGTAATTACATCATAACCAATGAAACTGCAACCTTACCTACAATTCAGCTAGTACCTTGAATTGCAAAAGCAAATGTTAAAGTCTTTTCTAATCCTGAGAAAATCTAAAAGCTATCAAGTCTCCGTAATTTTTATGCTTTGTGGGGCTCGTAACAGAGCATTCAGTTTTCCAAAACGTAGCTCCGATAAGGATATAAAAATGTGAGCTTTTGCAAATTCACCTTCGCAGGCTTGTACTGGAACAACTCTTTCCCAGACTGTGAAGACACTTTAAACGTTTCTTTGTTTTCTTTTCTCTGAAAACCTACTTTCACCTTAGTTTGAATAACAATTGATTGGGACTTGATCAATCAAACCCTGTTAACATTTCACTTTCTCGGAAATTTTGCAGATACGTAGTTCTGTTTTAACATGGTACCAAGAAGGTATTAAAAAAAGATCGATGATAGAAAGAAGAGACTTGCAGTCAAAAATTTACAATTTTAAAAAGTTGAGAAACAGCTTTACTGACTTTGTTATTCTAATGCTAGGTTTAAATAAAACATCATGAGTTTGAAGTTCACGGATGCGGTAAATGATTTTGCATTCTTGATAACCTTGGTAGGCTAATAATTCGACCAAATCATCTTAATAAACCCGGAAGCCCTCTCTTAATATTATGTTGAAGAAGTCGAAAGTTAACTATAACATAAAGATTGAATAAGATATGAATCGAAATAAGAAGAGTTCAGGCGGAGCTTTTCAACATACTTCTCGAAGTGTGCCGTCCTTTAGACTTGACGTTCCGTTGAATATGGACCGCAGTGGATATCCCAAATATCGGCCTAAATAGTAGCGTTGTGACTGTGCTTAATGTAGCAGAAGGGAGGACCAAACCATTTAGCAATCGCTCCTTTCCTAGATATAGCAAATACTCTCTTAAACGTGCTACAATTGACAGTTTTCTTCAACTGAAAAACAAACGATCTCCGCGATCTTATCAGCGTCTCCATTGTAAATCGTCGATTCCTCCATGAAACAAGGACCAATAATTAAAGATTCTTTGGCTTAAAACAGTAATTACATCATAACCAATGAAACTGCAACCTTACCTACAATTCAGCTAGTACCTTGAATTGCAAAAGCAAATGTTAGTCTTTCTGATTTTGAGAAACTCTAAATGCTCTCGAGTCTTTGTAATTTTTATGCTTTGTCGGGCTTGTAACAGAGCATTCAGTTTACCAAAACGTTGCTATGATAAGGATAAAAACTGCGAGCTTTTACAAATTCATCTGCGCAGGCTTGTACTGGAATAACTCTTTCCCGGACTGTGAAGACACTTTAAACGTTTCTTTGTTTTCTGTTCTCTGAAAACCTACTTTCACCTTAGTTTGAATAACAATTGATTTGTACTTGATAAATCAAACCCTGTTTACATTTCATTTTCTCGGAAATGTTGTCCCTCTAGCTTGTGAGCATCCGGAAATTCTGCGTAATAACATTCTATAATATTAAAGTAGTACTGAAACGAACAAGACATGATATACACATATGAGGTGACTGCGGACTATGGAACTAATGGTGACGTAAAAGACACAGAACCTCTGCCATTATGATGCTGGTGACGCTTTTCGTAATGTTCAACTGTCGCAAAATAAGATATCGATAAGTAACTCACATGTAATCCGGCTTTCAGTCCAAATGATCAATGAATTTCAAAAGTATAAGTTAATGATAAAAGCTGCGTCCACTTCTGGAATTGTGAAGGGAAGAAAGCACGAGATCGTTTCTTTAAACCCGCTCATTTCTCGGAATTTTGGTAAATTAGGTAAACATTTCAGGGGAATATTAATGTTTTATGTCTCGTGGTATATTTCCGCCTGTAACATACAAGCATTTCTAAAGTCCTCAGATGACCTAAGTTTGAAAATAGCATGTAAAATAAAATAGGAAACAGGTTAAATATCGACAATGACTTAAGGGCATACTTAGTCTGTTAAGAGTATTTGCTACAATGATCTGAAGTTTAAAGGGCCAATCAAAGTAAAACACTGTGTTGTAAAGAATAAGAAAGACGGCAAGTTTTATGCTCGGTAAAGAAATATAGAAAGTTGTTTTTCGTCTTGTCACGAGCGTGGGACAAAGAAAACATTATGATTCCCCATGCTGAGGAACCGACCAAAGACCTTCGGATTCCGCGCTCCGAAAACATTGTGTTCTTTCCATGACTCCTTCGACAATTTTTTTGTCAAGCAAACCGCTTTTACAAGTTTCAAATCACCGAGAAGAAAATACAAAAGAGAAACAATGTTCAGCATCGTACTCATGTTTTAAAGCCCGTTTATTTCACTCTAGTCTGTTACAACCTCTAATAAAGCATTATTCCGAGAAGCTAATCAAAATTAAGAGTCGTAACAGCCATTTCAAAACAAAGCTGATAACACAATCAGCGGATGACTTAGCCTGTGATGTATTAAATGAGCATATAGCTGCAATTTACCTTTCTAAAGTAGAATTTTAGAAGTTTCCTTGCTGTCACGGAGCTAATCGGCATGTGCCACACTCACTAATTTTTTCTTCCATCGATCCCTTAGCACTAAATTAGGCTAAAAAGGTAGGTATGAATATATCTTACGAAGAATCAATCCTGACATTTCAGTAGCACGCACTGTTTGTCATGTGTTAGCGATACTTCTCATAAAACTGAAACCAGCATAAATCTAACATTCGTCAACCGAAGCCCCGATAAAGGATCGAAGTTTTCGTTCAATATCATGTTTGTAGCACACAGCATTATATGGATGGGTGATCCAAAGCTGCCTTATTACACTTCCTACACCATCTAAATAGACGCTTAAGAATCTATAAGGGAGAAATAATCGCTAAGAAACTGTCTTCCCTACAGAAAGGCTTCCTTTGCCCCCGCCTTTTCTGTCTCAGCCGAAAAGTGATTTCTTTATCCATCGAAAAAACCCTGGTTTAGTAGCTTCCTTCAGCTGGGCCTGTAATGATTCTTTCTGCCTACTAAGGGAAGATAACTCCTTCTCACTATTTGTGAGTTGGTCCTGTAAATCTCTTATCATATCGCTATTTTGCTTCACTCTTGAATTATGAGCCTCGAGCTGCTGTTTTAGCTGCGCTTGAGCCTTTTCATTTCCCTCCGCCAAAGTTTGCATTTCTTTGCGAAGACCCTCTTTTTGCTCTTGTGCCTTCCTTTTTTCACTACGGCACTGCTGTCGTAAATCTTTCAAAGCCTGGTTGGCTTGTCGCTCTCTCTCAGCAGCAGCGTTCACTTGTGCTTGGAACTGCTTTTGTACTGTCATGTTTGCATCTTTCATGATTTCTAAGTTTCTTTCAAGCGACTTTTTCTCTGCTTTAGCTTGCTCTCTTACGTTTTCAATTTCAGTTTGCTGCTTCTCCTGAAGCATTGTCACCTGTTGAGGAAAGAATTTGTTACATATTTACTGATTGGGCATTTGGGATGATTACAAATAAGATTAAGGTAGACCTGGTGCCTTTTCTTCCGCGAAAATCCCCTATAGTATCATAGTTCTTCATTCACTCTAACGCACTTCCATTTCTATAACATTTACTCATGCGTAAGCAGTTTCTAACAACAGCGAACGTTCGGGTTGTTTGATTTAAGTTTTTTCGGAAATAATAACAATCAGCGTTTATTACTGGTTTTAATCAAAGCCGTGAAGCTATGGTCGCGCTTACGTTCTGTTCGTTGCGCTTCCCTTTCTATTTCCGGTTAACGTTCTCTTCCTCATGTGCCCTACACCGCTTTATCTGGTTTGAGTTAAGCCAAGCCTCACTCTAGGACTCACACTATGGGTTAAAAAGGCCTAGAGGTCAGTTCCAATTGAAGGTTGTTGCCTTTCCCACTTCGTTTGTGGAACCTTCTTTGAAAGCTACAACTGGAGACAAATGCTTAACGAATTGATGAAGTTCTTTCGACATGTTCCCCATAAGGCTGCGCTTGGATATTGAAGTGATCCTCTTATTTTATCAAAAATTTCACTTGGTTCATTTCTGTTACACTGGTCACATATTCAGCAGCTCTGGTGCTTTCCGGCAGAATGCACTTTTTCACTCCTAAAAAAGTCTACTGGGAGGTTTGAGTAGTTTTCCTCAAAATACTGATACAAATAGAGCCAATAAAACTTCTTGGCCATAAATTAGTAGGAGGCTGAACCAAACCATCCTAGTAAAAGAAACCTCAGGGGCGCTTTAAGTTATGATTACCTTCCTTTCCCATGCCTTCTCTTTCTTTTTCATCTGATTGATATCCTCCTGCAAATATTTGTCAATAGGGAGACTACACTTATTTCATTTATAGAGAAGCCTTGACTGCGCTCTGTTCTGTTGTAGAGCATGCAGGAAGCGGCTAGAGCACGAAAAATGTGGAGGGAGAAACACACGACTACGTCTCATGTTTCTCCCTACAGTTCTTTGGATTTTCAAAAGTTCATAGAAGAAGAAGAAGAAAAACAAGAAGAAGAAGAAGATGAAGAGTAAAAGATGAAGATGAAGAGGAAGAAGACAAAGAAAAGGAAGATGAAGAGGAAGCCGAGAAGAAGGATAAGACGAAGAAGAAGACAAAAAAGAAGAAGAAGGAGAAGAAGAAGAAGAAGAAGAAGAAGAAGATAGAGAAGAAAAAGAAAAAGAAAGCGAAGAGGAAGAGGAAGAAGAAGAAGAAGAAGGAGAAGAAGAAGAAGATGAAGAGGAAAAGATGAAGATGAAGAGGAAGAAGACAAAGAAAAGGAAGATGAAGAGGAAGCCGAGAAGAAGGATAAGACGAAGAAGGAGAAGAAGAAGAAGAAGAAGAAGAAGAAGAAGAAGAAGAAGAAAGAGAAGAAAAATAAAAATAAAACGAAGAGGAAGAGGAAGATGAAGAAGAAGAAGAAGGAGAAGAAAAGGCTAAAGAAGAGGAAGAGGAAGGAGTGGAATTAGAAAAATGTTTTCATGAGCCAAGGATAAGTACGTTGTTTATATTTAGGCATATGTGTGGTAGGTGCGTTGATGTTTAGCAAGCAATTGAAGTTATGGTTGTAAATAAGTTTGTGTCATTGAATAAATTAAGTGCAAGAAAATCTAAATTTAGGACCCTTTTTAGGACCATCCTTGGTGAGATGCTAAATCGGTTTTAAATCAAATACAAGAACTCACTTGTAGTTTCATTTTCATTCTTTCTTGATAGGCTTTTACCATTTTGTCCTTGGCAAGGTCTTCATTATAGTCCCTCATTTTCGAAAGAATTTCTCCGTGCCTCGAAACCTCTTCCAGCAATTCCTTTCATTTTGAAAAAGGGAAAGGAGTCATGAAAATTAAACAGAGAAATGACACCTCTTCCCACTCTGAGCAAGCTGGCTAGTACGAACCATATGCTCAAAGTTAAGGTTTACCTAGCGCCTTTTGGTGCATCCAATGTGGAGAAGAATTTATTAATTTTACGAAAATTTGACAAAGCCCTAGCTATTCAGTGTAAGTTACAAAACGTTCTACGAGTGTTTATTTCGTTTCCCGTGATCAGTCCGCGCGAGACTGGTAACATTACGTCATTTACTCTGTTAACATTATGGGATGAGCCATGTGCTCGTACTTGCAGAGGTCAAAATTCCCGGTTTAGATGTTTGTTTTTCTCACGAGTGTTTATTCACGTTTTCCTTCGAGTCTACAAATCTTGTAAGTATGTTGTCGCTGTAGTATATTCGTTTCGCTTCGTTTTGTTTACGTTTGTTTCCTTTTTTGTACAGTCAAGCCAGATCTTCGTGAATTTAAAGTTGTTCGAATATTCAAGTCTACATTCAGAACATCTTAGCAGAGATTAATTACTGAAATATGGCATTTCGCAATCCTTAACTTGAAATATAGCTAAACATATAAATTTTTTTTGCTGATCACTCCAAAAAGTATATCAATTTGAATCATTTCATTTTATTCATCTATTCATTTCTCTCAGTTCGTCCAGTTAGCTAACTAAGAATCGTTCCTTAGTTACCTCAGTAAACTTGAAGAATACATCGGCCCTAACATATTTCGCGCCGGTAGCCTTCTTTTGAAACTTGTTTGTAACAGCGTTACATTTATCCATGATATCACCATATTTCACCTCTTCACCAAGTCGGCTGTTTCGCACGCGTTTAAGTATTGGATCTACATAGCTGGCCTTGAGCCCACGCAAAAGTTCTTCGCACGCCTGGCGAGTGCATGAGGCATTTTTGGTCTTCCATGCCTTCATTCGCTGATCGGTATTTTCCTGTTGGAAATTAAGAGAAACTTGTTATTTTAGAATCAAAAGTCTCCCATTGGTTAACCTGAAGATACCATCTATTCACTCACCAAGAGTTCATTGAAATCCTCGTCGATGCATGTCGAAGTAAACTCGGCCATTTCCTTTTCAAATACCTTCATACACCTCCGCTGATAATATTCATGACGCTTGAGAAGCTCTTGAACTTCACATGGAAATATCGATGTCATTACTTGAGTCATATTTTGATCATAAGTACCCAGTGCGTGTGTCTTCGCTTCTGAGCACGTTTTCTTGACATAGGTATCCCAAGCCGCTTCAACATTTGGGATAGCATCAGGGTCGTTTAACGCGTCTGTGTACAACTTAACCAGAGCTCCCAGGGCTGCAAACGAAGAAAAGGAAAGGCAGCCATCACAAATTAAAAAAACAGAACAGAATCTAACAGTGGTAGAAGAGATTAAATAAGCGAGTGGCACTTCAGTCATTATGGAAATTGATTTAGGTTTCTATATTTTTGTCTCCTATCTTGCTTATCATCATGCATACTCCCTTCTCTTTTTGCTTTTATTTGAATTATCTATTAATATCCTATAGCTACCCGGGCCTCATAAGACCAAGACTGATTACTAAAGAAAGTCTAACTATTTCGGAACGAAGATAACGAGCAAATACGATATGAACAATACCTTTCCCTGTTATTCTCTCTCCCTTGTTGACGCTTCGCTTGGGAGCAAGTTTCGATTTCAAGAGAACTTCAAATTCTTTTAAGCCTTGGAGGAATTTTTCGCTCAGCTTTTCCCTTGAATTACCAATATCTTCCAATACCTCTGAGTCTTGAGTGGGTATAGGAAGAGCGAAGGCATCAAATCCTGCAAAAAGCTGCAAAATGCTCTCCGTGGCTTTCTGTCGTTCTCTCTCGTCGCTTGTTGTCGCTGACGATTCTTTGAAGACCTAAAGATTACGACGTTTGTTAATAATCATTTGTGGACGATAAGGGTAGATATGCTATTTGAGGTCATATTACTTATTTTTGTCTTAGCAGTGTCATTTGCTGTTCGCGTGCTGCGAGGGACGCGGATGACACTGCAAGAATAACAAAAATAAATTAAAAACAGCCACATATAAACAATAAAGAACAGAAGATTAAACAAGCCGAATTTATTTCACAAAATCTAGTAATTATGGGAGGACCTCAACAACCAAAAAAGAAAAATGGTATGCGGCTGAAATGTCGAAGTCCAAAGCGGAAGCTATGAATAACCTTTATTAGTATACACTAAGACAATGGATAGCGTTCAGGGTACAATGTGATTGGCTACTCAAATGCCGAATATCCTTTGTGAAAAAAACTGGATCACACTTATGAAATTGTTAGCCTCTTGACTGGCTGAGCGGAGTTAGATTATGGGCTTTATATATCTTCAAATGTATTTCAAGATATATAAACAAAAACTTCGCAGTTTTCAGTTGCTAGGTGCATGGTACATTTGTTAATAGTGTGAATCTTTGAAAACTTTCCATCACCAGAAATCGGGGACATTTCGAGCTCGTTACGAAATGTCAGCGATATATCGTTTCACAGACAATTCAATATGGCTGCAGTGGAAGTGAAGTGAACACATAACTTTCTATTTTCGTAAAACCCCACCAGAAAAAGGTCTGGTACATTTCTATCCAGAAAGCCAAAGGAGACGTCAAAACAAGGTTAATGGCGGCCAATTTTGAAGTTCCTGGGACTTGTATCTTTCCGTGTTCTTCCTTCCTAAAATTGGGTATTTAAAAATGGCGTATTTGGCTTTTGAGCTCTGTGAAAATACGAAGAGTTTCCCGGCTCGAGGAAAATTTGTGGGCCAACATATTCGACCGGCCGTTTGCAAGCGATTTAGGTGAGCAAACGTCTGCAGAATGCATATCGAAATACGCAGTTGCGAGTCTTCACAAGGTTCACACGACAAAAGAATTGTAACACCTAGTTGAAGCAGGTTTTTAAGAGTTCATATGGGAAAATGGAGTCAAAATTAAGAGTTTACTCGTATACCTTGGGAAATTGAAAGGTAGGCTTGAATTTGAGTATTTCTGATCGCAGCGATTGACGCTTTAACCGATGCAGACTGCATTTCCAACTACGCAGCGAACGAATATCCCATTCTTAGACAGTTATTTTAAAAAATAAAACTTTTCCCATACATTTTCTTGTACTGTTACGGCGCCATTTTGCTTGTAACACGAGAACCGCCTGCGCCATATTGTCACAAATTTCTGGCAATGGAGTGGAAGTTCCGATCGTTGTCCAACTAAATAAAAGCTGGTCGGTGGAGTATTTTTTCTTTTTTCTTTTTTTTTCCTGCGTTTTGAACAACACGACTATTCAAAATATATGAACTTCATATATTTCATTGTATCTGATTTATCAATTTCACGGGTTTATTACGAATCAACTTAACGGCCTGCTCCCAGTTGGCTTGTTAGCTCAATTGGTAGAGCGCTGCACTAGTATCGCAGAGGTCAGTGGTTCGAATCCCGTACAGGCCTGATTTTTTTTCAGGTCTGATTTTCGCTATTGCTTAAATAGCGCTATCTACTGCGAGGATCGTACATCATATGTATTTAATACCGCAGTTCAAAATATATGAACTTCATATATTTCATTGTATCTGACGACTATTCAACTGAACAAGAACACGTAATAGCCATTGTACTAAATCGAATACTCCCCTTAGGTTTTGTGAGTTTTGTTGACTAAATGCGTGATCGTTGGAACGGTTTTTGTAACCTTGATCTAATTACCACGGATGGGGTATACATCGAGGAGGTAACGCTAAACAGATTTGGCTAAGAAACAGGAAAAAACAAATCAGCGATATCTTTATCTTACCCTCTTTGCCAAGAACTGGTTCAAATCTTTACAATCTGGAGGAAGAGTATTGGAAACATCTCTCAGAAGCCAGATAAAAAACGGAAATGTATTGCGGAAAAGGTCCTTGTCGTGCGGGCCACCTTTAGATCGGATTCTGATTTGCTGAGATAATTTAACGATGAAGCTTAGTCATAATCAAGGATATCTCTCTTCATGATAGATTACCTAAAAATGCATAATCAAACAATGCTCTTGTGACCTAGAGCAAACATCCAGAAAGTATTCCTTAATTTTTTAAAACTCGCAGACAAAATCTAATTCATCTCACTACCACTAATAAAGCAGTAAGAAAGGGGAAAGGCAACAAAGTGAACGTAAGAGCACAAAGGCTGAAGGTATTTTATCTTAATTTTTTTCCACTTCTTAGGTGATAATGACTAATTAATCTTTAGAACTACTGTAACAAATGCACAATTCACACCATAGCTTAAACATGTTTTAAAGTTGTTTTGTTAAGCTGATGGTATAAAACTTTATTCCTCGAAGATACTGAATAAAGCGATGTTTGTGGACCTCAAATTAAGCACATTGTAAATATAATTTAGTGACGACTTCCAACCTAAAGTTTTCTCTCATGTTACCCAGTTACTGACT